GCAGTCCAGCATGTATTGCTTTTATTAAAGTATAACAGCTTAAATCACACCGTTTTTACACCTTATATTATTCAGTGTTTTTAAATGAAAGTGCTTCTATTTACATCAGCGAGCCTTTGTTAAAGTGCAAACACCGGCAGTCCAGTGAGAAGCTCGGGGGGCGTGGTTGATTTTACATAAAGCGTTTGGTTGGAAGCTCGCAGTCTTTTGCCACAGTTTGTGCCAGTCAAGCAGGCGTTTTGCCCTCAAGGCGTTCAATGGGAAAAGGGGCTGTCTATATTTTTTACAGTCATTGGTTGACACTTAGCTGATAACTGATTATAAAGCTAGTTTGGCATGCTGTCCCAAAAGCCCTGAGCTCATAAGATCCTCGAGCCCGGGGCTCCCTCCCATTTGCAAGGCGAGAGGGGAGAGCTCCTACTTACAAGGAGCATGTCTACGGTGTCAATTTGGATTAGTCAATTAACTTAAGTTGCTTGTTTTCGGACACTGGGAGGAAACCCATGTGAGCAAGAACAAGTAAACTTTGCACAGAAATGTCGGCTGGCTTGGTAAGGACTAGAACCAGTGGCGGACCTGCTGTGAGGCAACAGTGCTAACCACTGGGCCCAAAGGAGGAGGAGGAGGGGTGGAAGGGGAACTGGGGGTATTTATAGTGGCTAGGAAATCATCTGATTGGTGAATCATAAATTGAATAATGTGGGACCGTCTGCAAGCAATCATAAACGTGATCCTCTCGAAATTAGTTTATAAATAAACTTCACATAATGTTAAAGAGGCAAATCACCCAAAATTGAAAATTATTTAATCATTTATTCACCCTTTACTTGTTCCAAACATGTTTGACCATTTCTTCTGTTAAAAACAAACCTATTCATGTGTACTTTTAATACCGCAGTATTCGTTTTCCTACTATGGAAGTTGATATTTCAGCCGGATCTCACGAGAAAACGTAAGTATTTTACGTATTGCCAGTTTAGTGGCTAATTCGTACGAGTTCAGTCGTACGAAATGGTACGATTTTAAAAAGGAGGCGTGGCACCTGACCCCACCCCTAACCCCAACCGTCATTGGGGGATAAGCAAATCGTACTAAATTGTACGAATTAGATCGTACGAATTCATACGAATTAGCCACTAAATGAAAAAGTTACGAATTGCCGTGAGATTGTGTTGGATATTCTGAAATATTTAAACCATCTAGGGTTAATAGTTTGGGTGAACTATCCTTTTAAGTAAAAAAAAAAATCCCTTGGTTCTTTAGTAAAGGGTTTTGCATAAACTGGATAGACTGGATATTAGTTCACCAAATTTAAATAACTGTTGGATCTTCCCCTGCGGTTGAATCTGCTTGCAGTCGGCTGTAACATTAGAACTCTTCGTATCAGGCTCTATCTCTGATTGTGAAGATCAAGATCATTATAACTTGTGAGTCCTAATCTAATGCTGTCAATTGTGATATGTCATGTATGCAGCTATTTTTAAAAAGCAGATGTTTTAGATGGGAGGTTCTATCAGAGCCGAGTCACGTAAACTGTAGATTTCAGGTGAATGATATCCGTCATTTTGACAGATTTGCCTTCACAATGTTTCCGTTTTTGTTGTAATGTTCGCAGTCATACAAAAGCCACAGCAATACTATTCTCAACTAAAAGTGTCCAGGATGCTCAGTAAATGACAGCACAGAATTCATTTGGATGGTTTGCCTTCACTATCAACTTCGCCATGCAGCAGATTTTCACAGGTGTGATATATGTAATATTTAAAAAAAAGCTTAAAGAGATTATATTTAGCAACTAGAACGTTTTTCAAACGCATACGTATGCATTTCTGCTCGTTTAAAATTGTATAAAATGTATTACAATACTGGGTTAAATAACTATTAATTGCCAGATAAAAATTTGCAAAACACCTGCGGGTATAAAGGTGCTTTTAGAGGTTGCTGTTTTTTCCTCTCAACTTGATGACGACTGGATGTGAGGATTATTATAAAATTGTGAAACAGTTACATTATTATTATTATTATTTTGCAATCAGTTGTATGTGTGTTTGTATTTGTATAAGTGAATGTACTAATGTAATAATAATAATAATTCCTTACATTTATATAGCGCTTTTCTGAGCACTCAAAGTGCTTACA